AAACAAATTTCATAATCAATGGTAAAAAAAAAATTTACTTTAATGAACAATTTTCATGTAAAACAAAGTCAAACAAAAACTAAAATTTGATGAAATTTTTAAGAAAAAAAATTTTGTTCGTTTTTTTTTCTTTTTACTTTTTTGCAATGGAAACAAAATTTATAATTAATTGCGAAAAAAAAATATCACTTTAATAGACAATTTTCATGTAAAATAAAGTCAAATGAACACAAAATTTAAAAATTTTCCCGGGTGAAAAATTATACCAATCAAACACACTTAATTAACAATTCTCTACAAAATATTTTCTGGGCAATTATTTTCTCTGAAATTTATTTTCTTTCCATCCATTTTTCACCATTACAATCAAACGGATCCTTATTGTACATCATGCAGTGGAACTTGTATCTTTATCTGGTAATGGTACAATTTGGTGTAACTTTACAAATTGTGATAGAATATTGAATGTGTATAGTATATATGGGCTTTTAGGCCATGCTTGAACCGTACCTTTTTGCCTAAAATAAATTAATTGGTAAAAAATAGNTTGATGAAAATGTTTTCCCGCCTTTTTGGTGGGAAAATATTTTCCCGGCTGGCTATAATTTTTTTTTTTGCAATGGAAACAAATGTCATAACCAATGGTAAAAAAAAAATTTACTTTAATGAACCATTTTCATGTAAAACAAAGTCAAACTAAAACTAAAATTTGATAAAATTTTTAAGGAAAAAATTTTTGTTCGTTTTTTTTTTTTTTTACTTTTTTGCAATGGAAACAAAATTTATAACCAATTGCGAAAAAAAATATCACTTTAATAGACAATTTTCATGTAAAATAAAGTCAAACGAACACAAAATTTAAAAATTTTCCCGGGTGAAAAATTTTACCAATCAAACACACTTAATTAACAATTCTCTACAAAATATTTTTTGGGCAATTATTTTCTCTGAAATTTATTTTCTTTCCATCCATTTTTCACCATTACAATCAAACGGATCCTTATTGTACATCATGCAGTGGAACTTGTATCTTTATCTGGTAATAGTACAATTTGGTGTAACTTTACAAATTGTGATAGAATATTGAATGTGTATAGTATATATGGGCTTTTAGGCCATGCTTGAACCGTACCTTTTTGCCTAAAATAAATTAATTGGTAAAAAATAGTAGACATGGGAGTAAGAGCGTAGACCGTTAGGGTATGGAGGCGGGGTTGGGGTTGTGAGGGACCAATTCTTGTCAAAACTTTATGCCAAAATCTTGGCTGATTTTCATGATATGTATTATCATATGCTATTTAAAAAGGTTCTACAGGATTCAAGATGAAACAAGAAAAAATGAAATTTGGTCTTTGAGAGTGATGTTGTGACAATTAATAGGTAAATATGAGGGACGTAGGAGTTAAGGTTTTATTTTTGGACAATGTTGGCATCTAAACTCACAAAACCAATTCGGACATAAGCTAATTTAAGAATGAGAATTTGTAAATTTACAGTAGTAACTTCAAAAAGGACGGACTAAAAGATTACAAAGTCAGTTCAACCTATGAGCTACCAACTTAGGTCGTTTCTCCAATAACATGTCAGCTCGATCATACCCCCCGTCATTTAGAAAACGTCATCATTGCTTTATTGCCACTTGTGTCTTATCGATGACATTATTAATTCTCATATGACAATTTCCATAACAACACATGACACTCATGATGATTGTGCCTTACTTTCAACCAATCAAAAATATGCAATAATTATCTACCATCTCAGCATCATCATAAGCGACCTCAAAGGACCAATCAAGAGTTAAGAAGGCATGGACAATGACACACAATTCAAGGAAATCATTATAGATAACTTATTTTTGGAGGTCAATTGACTGTTCTGGGAGCCTATAATTATAACCAAATGGTTTCCCAATTGGGGGGTTGGCAAAGCTTGATCTAGTCATTTTTTGATGTCAACAGTTTGGTGCAAGAATGAGGGCCTTGTAAAAAGCAGTCCAGTATGTTACAAAACTTACTCTGCATTTTGCACTAGACACCAAACATAAAAACACCTTAATGGTAAACATTGGTGTTAAAGCGACAAATGCCACTACTTTTTTGATATCTACTGTTGTCATTAGTTGATCAATTCATCACAAACCCCATTTTAATTATTTCCATATAGCTTCCCATTCCATTTACCGTTTCCATGAGCATCTACGAGAGCCACCACGTGTTTCTTTATTTTTTTGCAGTTTT